TAACCAGAGAAACAAAACGTTGTGCTCTATTTGTGTAAAAAGTAAATAAACAAATAAAACGAAGGGTTTAGATTAAAAAAAAAGATGTGGGGATAGAGAGTATGGAGGAATTAAAAAGATATGTACAAGATACAATTCAAATGAATGGGTAATTACTTGGATATTAGAGATGGGAAGAGATGGGAAGTCAGAGATGACTTCTTGTATCTGGCATGAGCAACTCTAGGGAACATAGTTTTACTGATCACATTAGAAAAATCTAGAGAAGAGCATGCTCAACCTTAAATATTATGCATCAAGTTAAGGTTCATGTGAGACATATCCATGAAGATATAATACAGTATGTGTATGTGGAGCTCAAACTGGAGGAAAGTTCTGTGTAACTAATTGCAAAAATGTCCACAAATTACAGATGCCTTTCAGCAGTTCCCACCCACACTGACCAGGCTGGCATTGATTTGGCCAGTGGACATTATGAAGCATGATGACAGCAGAAATTTCAAAATCACATGGACAACAAGACAGGCTTTCTTACTACTCCTGGGAACCTTGCAACTGACTATCATATTATGAAACCCCACCAGCATCCTGGGTGATGATCTACTGGTCCAATCATCTCCATTGTCCTGGCCCAGAGCCTGTCAGAAAGGAGAATAAAAGAATTGCAGGTCATGAGGCCCCATCAAACTTCCTGCTGACAGCACGTACAAGCCCGGCAGAATCAGCTGAGTTGGCATGGCTAAAAAGAACCATCTAGCAGGCCAAAATCCTAAACAAAATCATTTTAAGCCAATATATTTTGGAGTGCTTATAATATAGCAAAAACTAAATAATACAATTTACTGGGAATATAATAACAGTAGACAAGAAACAAAGAGCTCATTTTGCATTAGCTCAGTGTAAAATGTTTTGCACAGGTAAACTAAAAATCATAAAGAGTGTTAAAATATTAAGATGAAGAGTGAAGTTATTTGATATAAAAAGTTTAAAGACATTAATATTTTTTTAAAAAAGAGGTTTTCTCAGAGCTATTTAGCTGTTCCCTCACAGAACTTAAGGAAGCCTGAGGACATAGAAATTATAAACTTCTAAAGTCTACAGATTGTTTGATTCCAGGACTGCATAGCTTTGGTTTTACTAAATACTCATCTATTGGTTAATGTTAAAATGGTGACTTCATTAAAATTATTTTAGGCCTTTGGATATTTGTGTTAAATTTTTCCAAGTTTGTGTCAAGGTATATTTTCTACCTTGATTTTCCAAATGCTAATTCTGTGCTTTATGCATGTTTCATGGACAGCAGGAAAAAAATTATAGCCTTCAGATAAAATTATAGGTGTGAAATATTCCACAAATAGCAATAATTCACCATATTGTTTGACATATTTTTCCCCCTTAAACATCATTTACATAGAATTCTAGAGTTGCCATATCAAAAGATTCTTCTAGTAAGGAAAATTATTTCTGTCTCTTAAGAGTTTTTTTTTCTTTTTTTTTTTTACAAAATGAGCAAAACCCAAATCTATGAAATGGGGGCAGTAATGGTTGTGTCTCACCAAGACTTAACTGCATGTTTGTAGTTACTGGCCATCTAGCACTTGCATTGCTGCATTTCTGAAGTCTCTACAGATACTCTAACTTGAGTATGTTTGAAGAAACTAAGATAAATTAAAAGATGAACTAACGAATTGATGTCAATCTATCCGGTAGCTAAAATATTGGAAATTTAATGATAAGGAATGCATTAGCTTCTCATTTGTATCGTGACAAGCTGCTACAAATTTAATGCCAAACAATAGAAATACATTACCTTATAGGTCTGGAGTTCAAAAAAGCCCAATATGTCTCAGTAGGTGTCTTCGTCTACTTGGATGTCTATCATAATAAAATATGAGAGACTGTGTGGTTTGGATGATAGGAATTTATTTTATCACAATTCTGGAGGGTAGAAAGGCCAAAATCAAGGTTCTGGCCAATTTGGTTATTGGTGAGGGCTCTCTTCCTGTTTTGAAAATGGACATGTTCTGTGTCCTCACATGATTGAGAGGCCAAGGAGAGAGAGCAGGAGGAAAGAAGGGAAAAAGAGAATGAGAGAGAGAGAGAGAGAGAGAGAGAGAGAGAGAGAGAGAGAATAAGAATGAGAATATATGAGAGAATTCTCTGGTATCTCTTCCTCTTCTTACCTGGTACTAACCCTAACTGCAATTATGTTCATGTTAGGAGTTAGGACTTTAACGTATGAATTTGTGGGGTTTGGGCACACAAACATTCAGACTATAACACTAGGTTTAAATCAAGTGTTGGCAGTACTTGGTTTCTTTCTGCAGACCTAAGGCTGCTGTAGCAAAGTGCCACAAAGTGGGTAGCTTAAAATTACAGAAAATGATTCTTACAGCCCTGGAGGCCCCAAGCTTCAAATCAAGGTATCAACAAGGTTGGTCCCTCCTGATAGTGCTGAGGGAGAATCTGCTTGTACCTCTCTCCCAGCTTCTGTGGTTGTCAGCAATCTTTGGTCTTCCTTAGCTTATATCATGCCTGGCTCCAACCCTCCGTATGCACAGAAGTTCTCCCTGAGTCTCCTCACACAATACCCCTCCGTGAATGTCTCTCTGTGCCACAGTTTCTTCTTTTTATAAGGACACCAGTCATATTGGATTAGGCTCTACCCCAATGACCTCATTTTATTCTTTACCCTTCTTAAAAAACCCTATGTCCAAATAAAGTCATGTTTTGAGGTTCTGTGCATTAGGACGCCAATACATCCTTTTGAGGGACACGAACCATAGTAGTCAGCAATGTCCCTCAAGTGCATTACATCATATTTCATTATGTCATCCTTATCTCCTCCTGACTTTTCTTTCACCTCAAAGGACCCTGTGATTACAGTGGACTCACACAGATAATCCATAATGCAGGATAATTTCCCTATTTTAAGATCAGCTGATTATTTGTCTTAATCCCATCAGTGGTCTCAGTTCCCCTTTGTTACCTTTTAACATAATATATTCACATGTTATAGAAATTAGATGGATATCTCAGGAGGGCCATTTTTCTGCCTGTCACAGAAAAAAAATTGTTATTTACTGAAACCCTCAGCACTCCTGGCTGTGGCTAGAAAGAAGAGTTAGAAAACCAACTCTGCTTGGAAACACACAGGCGATGTGACTTGGCAGTGGATTGCATGGTGGCTAACCTTTCTTCCAAGGAGAAAGGCTTTTGAATTTTGAATGAGCTAAGTACGTTTGTTGCCAGAGGTAAAGTATTGTGAATAGAGGAGTAGTTGAGCATTTCCAGAGAATTCTTGCATATAACCTCCCTCAATTTTACAGGGAGCATCCACTTCTCCTCTCAGTAAATGCTTTAAATAAATACTCAACAAATACTAAGACTGAGCTCAGACTTGTTCTGCTCTTTTGTGCATAATTGTGGGCTAAAATGCTGAGTTCGATTTCAAGGCAATTTTGTCTTAAGAAATAGTCCTAGGAGAATCAGGCATCTCATGTGCCCTATCCTATCCCTGAATATCTACACACACACACACACACACTATTGTTAATTCACTAGTGAAAAGGAGGAGATAGAGAATAGATTTTTTTTTATGTTATCCTCACTTAAAACATGTTTGTTTTCCTGAATCAGGTGAATATTTAGAATTCTGGTACAATCTTCTTTTTTTTTATTGTTGGTTGTTCAAAACATTACATAGTTCTTGATATATCATATTTCACATTTTGATTCAAGTGGGTTATGAACTCCCATTTTAGCCCGTATATACAGCTTGCAGAATAACATCAGTTACACTTCCATTGATTTACATATTGATATACTCATGTCTGTTGTATTATGCTGCCTTTCCTATCCTCTACTATCCCCCCTCCCCTCCCCTCTCCTCCCCTCTTCTCTCTCTACCCCCACTACTGTAATTCATTCCTCCCCCTTGTATTATTTTTCCCTTTCCCCTAACTTCCTCTTGTATGTAATTTTGTATAACCCTGAGGGTCTCCTTCCATTTCCATGCAATTTCCCTTCTCTCTCCCTTTCCCTCCCACCTCTCCTCCACCCTGAACGCACCCGATCTTGTCTGGTACAATCTTCTTCATGTTTGAGCCCATTCTCATTTTTGCTGAATAGTTAGATGTTGCATAATGTTTTTCCCAGAATTTGTATAGTTCATATTTATTTTTAATATTATGAATTTACTGAGACTTCTTACATTTAAAATGTAAATTCATTTGGGAAAGTATACATTCCAATCTCCTGAACTAAAAGACTGAGTTGAGTATCACATTTAGTATATCTAACAGAAGGAATTATTTAATAACATTCTGAATTCTTTTCAAAATCTTTTCCAGGATCACAGTTCATTGCTATAAAGACTGGAATTGTCTTTGGAAGTATTAAACAGAGAGAAGGATAGAACAGAGGAAAAGACAAAGAGCTAATATTTGAAGAAATATAAATTTTAAAAATGGGAGAATGGTGGAAATAAAAGAAAGATAAATCTTTGGAAGGTGAACACGATAATACTTAAAATGGGAAACTCAGAATTTTTAGGGAATGGGGATAAGATTCTGGACAGAGAGATACAGAGAAAACTAAGGAAGTAAATATTGTCATGTGCCACCCAGCAACATCTTGATCAATGATGGACTATATGACAGCATTTATGATAGCTGTCCAACAAGATTCTACTGAAGCTGAAAATTTCCCATCACTCAGTGGTGTAGTAGCCATCATGACATCGCAGTGCAATGCACTACTCTCACAGCTGTGGTGATGTGAGCGTAAGCAAGTCTGCTGCTCCACCAGCCACACCAACTATAATGCATACTATTATGTAGAGTTCATAATACTTGGTAATGATACTAAATGAAGGTTGCTGGCTCACATGTTGACTATGCAATTCTCTTTATCATTTTGGAGTGCGCTCATTGTCCTCTAAAAATAAAAATAGCTTAACTCTAAACCAGGCTCAGACAGGTCCTTCTTCTGTGTTCCAGAAAAAGGCATTATCGTCATAGATGAGAGCCACATGTGTTTTCCTGCTCCTATCGACCTCCTTCCAGTGGAAAAGACATTGAGGTGGAAGATGGTGATGTGGATGGCCCTGACCCTGTGTGGGTCTAAGGTGGTTGGGGTGTTCTGTGTCTTAGATTTAACAAATTTTTTAAAAAGTAGAACAAAATTTAAAAATTTTTTCAAAGTAGGGGGTTTCCATCAACATTCCAGGCCAAAGGCAAAGCTCAGGCACAGCCGCAGGGTCAGGAGAACTGCCAGATGAGAAACATGTTCCAAGGGCGCGGGGAGGCCACTCACCCCAACAGGAGCAGCGACTTCTCAGGGAAGCAGAACTGGGCCAAGTCCGAGCTGTGGGCAGTCTGCGCCACGCCAGTGACCGTGTAACCTGCTGCACAGCTGTGCAGTGTGTTTAGGTTTTAAGTTGTGTATTATTAAAAAATGACAACATTTTAAAATGTATGTTTATGAAGTCAAAAGGTAAAGTAAGCTAAGTCTAATTTATTATTGGGAAAAGAAGATTTTTTGGGGGGAGGCGGTAACTAGGGATTGAACCTAGGAGTATTCTACCACTAAGATACATCCTCAGCTCTTTTATTTTTTTTTGAGATAGGGTCTCACTAAGTTGCCAAGGCTGGCCTCAAACTTATGATCCTTCTGGGATTATAGATATACATCACTATACCTGACTAGTGAAGAAAGAATATATATTCTTTTGAAGTTTAGTGTAGCCTAAGGGTCCACTGATTACAAAGTCTATAGTAGTGTGCAGGAATGTCCTGGACCTTCACCTTCACTCAGAACTCCCTCACGGACTCACCCAGAGCAGCTTCCAGTCCTGCATGTTCCAGTCAGGGAAACTCTATTTGTAGATTCATGGCTTTTTATGTTATTTTTACTTTACCTTTTCTGTGTCTGGATATACCATTGTATTATAACTGGCTACAATATTCAGTACAGTGACATGTTGCTGTACAGGTTTGTAGCCTGAGAGCAATAGACTACATCATGTGGTTCAGGCGTATAATGGGCTATGGCACCTATCTCCACCCAAGTACCCTCTATAATATTTGCACAAAGACAAAGTCACCAAATGACACATTTCTCAGAGAGTATCCTATCTCTGTTCATATCCTTACCATTATGTGATGAGGACTCTAATGATTAGAAAAGGAAATTTTAGACATAAAAATAAGGAGGATGTGAAACAGGAATGAAAATATGAGAAGGAACAAAAGTAGGGATGCATAACCTGGAGGCTAAGATATATTATTCTATAGAGTACTTTTTTTCAGTATAAAGGGAAGGGAAAAAAAGAATGTATAATCAGACTATGATAAAAAGTGAAGAGATGATGGCAGCCAGAGGGCCAGAGGCCTCTCATGCCACTTGGAGGATGCTGCGTTCTGACTTGGAACATTGACTGGAATCCATTCTTGTTAACACAAATCCAGGAATGATGAATCTCTGGGTGCAACGCAATGGCCCCAGATTCATAAATCACCCATACACTCTGTACCTATGAGTTTTACAAATGATTCTCCAGTCATAGTAATCATATTCTGTGGGAAAATTCTCACAGTCTGTGAGACTTCCTTTTTTAGCAATTTTCCTCCGTAAAGTTGTCATCCTGCATTGAGAGTGCTGTCCCCTAAGAGCAGTTGCCTCCATGCCCTCCACAGTTTGCAAGGTTGTGGATCCTGAAGTCACTTCCAGAGCCTTCGTGTGTCATTTTCAGAGAAGATTAGGAAAATTTACAAATCAATATTTCATGCCTGTATAAAGATTGAATTATTTCTGTGTTTAGGAGCTGGACCAAAACAATGTAATAAAAACCTAAGTTCTGATGATATTCAACATTGAATATTCCATCAAATGCCCCAGTGACTCCCTTTGGAATTTGGTGATCTTCCTTGTAGACTCTGACTATAGAGATGTAAACAAATTTACAAATGAGTGGTGAAATGATTTATATAGGATCCTCTTGTCGTCTTAGACAGGAGTGTATGGGTGTGCATGTGCTCACATACATGGTTAGGATACTACCTAGATTCAAGGCAGTTTTCAAAATTAATTCTGATCTGTTTACTTGGAAAAGAAGTTTCATGTTCAAAGCTTCATGTGTGTTATGCTTTGGATGTGAGGCGTCTCCCAAAATCTCACGTGTGAAATAATGCAAGAAGGTTTAGAAAGAAATGATTGGATTGTAAGAGTCTTAACCTAATCAGTAAATTAACCCCCCCTGATGGGGTTAACTGAATGTTGACTGAAGGAAGGTGGGTGTGGCTGGAGGAAGGGGTTCATTCAGAGCATGGTTATGAGTTATCTATTTTGTATCTGTAGAGTGAAGTGTCTCTGCTTCCTGATCATCATGTGAGCTGCTTCCCTATGCCACACTCTTTCACCTGATGTCTTGCCTCACCTGGAGCCCTGAGGAATAAAGCTGGCCTTCTATGGACTAAGACCTCTGAAACCATGAGCCCTCAAATAAACTTTTCCTCCTCTACTGGTTCTGGTTGGGTCCTTTATTTGCAGTGGTGGAAAAGCTGACTAAAGCAATATATCTCCAAAGTTCTTACCTTTTCAAATAAAATCTCCTCATTAAAATTTATAAGTAAAGAAATAATTTGTAATTTTATCATTCAGATACCCAGACTGGTGTGAAATGAAAAGAAAGTGAGAAATTGCTGTGTCAAGCACTCCAGAATCATCTGTCATGAAATCTTTCTAGCGTCAAGTAATGATAAATGAAAAAGGTGAAGGATGGACAAAGTCTTATGAAATGAGTCCAGATGAGAGCTTGCATTACACAAATGTTCTTGGTTTTTTAAAATTATTTTTCATTTGTTTTAATTAGTTATACATTACAATAGAATACATTTATGCATTTTGATGTTTCATATATAGATGGGATAGAATTTCTCATTTTTCTGAGTGTACATGTTGCAGAATTATATTGGTCATGTAGTCACATACATACATAAAGTAATAATGTCTGTGTCATTCTACTATCTTTCTTATCCCCACATCTCCTCTCCTCCCTGTCATTCTGACAGGAGTGAGATGAAATCTTAGAGTAGTTTTGATTTGCATTTCTCTAATTGCAAGAGATGTTGAACACTTTTTCATATATTTGTTGATCAATTGTATCTCTTCTTCTGCAAAGTGTCTGTTCAGTTCCTTGGCTCATTTATTGATTGGAGTATTTGGGTTTTTTTGTTGTTGTTAAGATTTTTGAGTTCTTTATGTATCCTAGAGATTAATGCTTTATTGGAGGTGGATGTGGTAAAGATTTTCTCCCAATCTGTAGGCTCTCTCCTCATGTTGTTGATTGTTTCCTTTGCTGAGAGGAAGCTTTTAAATTTGAATTCATCTCATTGATTGATTCTTGATTTTACTTCTTGTGCCTTAGGAGTCTTGTTAAGGAAGTCAGATCCTAGGCCAACAAGGTGAAGATTTGTGTCTATTTTTTCTTCTATTAGGTGCAGGGTCTTGGTTCTAGTGCCTAAGTCTTTGATCCACTTTGAGTTGATCAAACAGGGTTCATCCCAGGGATGCAGGTTTGGTTTAACACATGAAAATCAATAAATGTAATCCATCATGTTAATAGACTTAAAAACAAGAATCATGTGATCATTTTAATAGATGCATGAAAAGCATTTGACAAAATACAACACATCTTCATGTTCAAAACACTAGAAAAACTAGGGAGAGTAGGAGCATACCACAACATTGTAAATGCTATATATGCTAAAACCAAGGTCAGCATCATTCTAAATGTAGAAAAATTGAAAGCATTCCTTCTAAAATCTGGAGCAAGACAAGATGTCCTCTTTCACCACTTTTATTCAACATCATCTTTGAAACTCTAGACAGAGAAATTAGACAATAAATAAATAAATAAATAAATAAATAAATAAATAAATAAAGTGATACAATAGGTAAAGAGAAGCCAGGCAGCCCAGATCCATTCACACCAGCCTGTGTGGGTTCCAAGTGCACAGGAGGCATGGCCCACCACTTGGGGGCAGACACCCACCAGAGCTTAGCCTCTGGTGCAGGACCACCCCTTCCAGCCAGCAGATTACCCAGGGAGGTCAAGCCCAGTGGCCCAGATCCACCCACTTCAACTTATGCAGGACCCAGATCCAGGATGCAGTAGCATCCATTGAGGGACACCAGCAGGGTCTGGAGGCCCAGCATCAAGGTGAGGTACAGACAATCTGCACGGTTACTACAAGAATATAGGGAGGTAACTGTAATATCTCAGATCCACACTGCAAAAAAGGAAGACACATAGACAACATAAAAAAAAAAACAAGGGAGGAAAGTGCTCCAAATAAACCAGGACACTATAATAACAGAACCCATGGACAGCAACTTTGATGAAATGTCAGAGAAGGAGTTCAGAAGGTTCATAAATAAAATGATGTATGAATTAAAGAATGAACTAAATGAGCAAATAGAGGCAAAAATTGATCACTCCAATAATGAGATAAGAGAGCAAATACAGGTAGCAAAAGATTACTTCAAGAGATAGATAGAGACTCTGAAAAAAACAAAAACAGCCTGAAATCTTTGAAATGAAGGATACAATAAATCAAATAAAAAACCCAACAGAAAGCATAACCAACAAACTAGATCACTTGGAAGAAAGAACATCAGATAATGAAGTCAAAGTATACAATCTGGAAAATAAAGTTGATCACATAGTGAAGAAAGTTAGAAACCATGAATAGAACATCCAAGAATTATGGGACAGCATTAAAAGACCAAATCTAAGAGTTATTGGGATATAGGAAGGCACAGAATTTTAAACCACAGGAATGCACAATCTCTTCAATGAGATAATATCAGAAAATTTCCCAAGCATGAAGAACAAATTGGAAAACCAAATACAAGAGGCTTACAGAAGAATAAATGTACAAAAGTACAACAGATCTACACCAAGGCACATTATAATGAAAATGCCTAGTGTACAGAATAAGGAGAGAATCTTAAAAGCCACAAGAGAGAGGAATCAGATTACATATAGGGGGAGACAAATTCGTATTTCAGCAGATTTTTCAATGCAGACCCTCAAAACCAGTAGATCATGGAACATTACATACCAAGCTCTGAAAGGAAACTATATCCTGCAAAACTAAATTTTAGATTTGATGATGAAAAAAAAAACCTTCCATGATAAACAAAAGTAAAGAATTTACAACTAGAAAGCCTGCGCTATAGAACCTCCTCAGCAAAATATTCCAAAAGAGGAAATAAAAAACAATGAGGAAAATTAGTAGAGGTAGGGATTACACTAAAGGAAAATCTAATCAGAGGAGAAACCAAGTCACATTAAATACCAAAAATAAACAAAAATGGCTGAGAATTCAAATCATGTCTCAATAATAATCCTGAATGTTAATGGCCTAAACTCACCAATCAAAAGACATAGACTAGCAGATTGGATTTAAAGAAAAGACCCAACAGTATGATGCCTCCAAGAGACTCATCTAATAGAAAAAGACTCACAGACTGAAGGTGAAGGGTTGGGAGAAATCATACCACTCTCATGGCCTGTGGAAGCAAGCAGGGGTTTCCATCCTCATATCAAATAAAGTCAATCAAAAAGGATAAAGAAGGACACTACATACTGATTAAGGGAACCATACACCAACAAGACTTAACAACTATAAATAAATATGTCCCAAACAATGGAGCATCTACATTCATCAAATAAACTCTTTTCAAGTTCAAGAGTCAAATAGACCACAGCACAATAATTTTGGGTGACTTTAACACTCCTCTTTCATTGCTAGATAGATCTTCTAAACAAAAGATGAACAAAGAAACTATGGAACTCAATAATACAATCAATAACTTAGACTTAACTGACCTATATAGAATATTTGATCCTTCAACGAGCAAATACACTTTCTTCTCAGCAGCACATGTATCCTTCTCTAAAATAGACCATATGCCACAAAGCAACTCTTAGCAAATATAAAAAAGTAGAGATACTACCCTGCATTCTATAAGATCATAATGGGATGAAATTAGACATCAATGATAAAATAAAAAATAAAATCCACTCCAACTCCTGGAGACAAAATAATATGCTACTGAATGAACAGTGGGTTACAGAAGACATCGAGGAGGAGATTAAAAAATTTTTAGAGGTGGATAACAACACAGATACAACATATCAAAATCTCTGGGACACTATGAAGGCAATTCTAAGAGGAAAATTCATTGCATGGAATTCATTCCTTAAAAGAAGAAAAAATCAACAAACAAATTTCTTAACATTACAACTCAAAGTCCTAGAAAAAGAAGAACAAATCAACACCAAAAGCAGAAGAAGACAGGAAATAATTAAAATCAGATCTGAAATCAATGAAATTGAGACAAAAGAAACAATTGAAAAAATTGAGAGAACAAAAATTTGGTTCTTTGAAAAAATAAATAAAATTTACAGATCCTTAGCCATGCTAACTAAGAGGAGAGAGAAAACTCAAATCACTAACATACATGATGAAAAAAGAAATATCACAACAACACTACAGAAATACAGAAGATAATTAAAAATTATTTTGAAAACCTGTACTTCAATAAAATCGAAAATATCAAAGGCATCGACAAATTTCTAGAGTCATATAATTGCTCAAATTGAATCAGGATGATACACACAATTTAAACAGATAACTTTCAAGTGATGAAATAGCAGATGCCATCAAAATTCTACCAACAAAGAAAAGTCCAGGACCAGATGGATACATAGCCGAGTTCTACACGACCTTTAAAGAAGAACATATACTAATACTCTTCAATTTATTTCAGGAAATAGAAAAAGAGGCAGCACTTCCAAACTCATTCTATGAGACCAATATCACTCTGGTTCCAAAATCAGGCAAAGACACATCTAAATAAATAAATAAATAAATACAAACTTCATACCAGTATCTCTAATGAAAATAGATGAAATATTCTCAATAAAATTCTTAAAAATTGAATACAAAAACATATCAAAAAGATTATGCAGGGGGTGGGTGGCTGGGGTTATAGCTCAGCCTTAGAGCACTTACCTCGCACATGCAAGGCCCTGGGTTCAATCCTCAGCACAACATAAAAATAAATAAATAAAATAAAATAAAAGTTATTACAAAAAAAAAAGATAGTGCACCACCATCAAGTGGGATTCATCTCAGGGATCCAAGGTTGTTTCAACATACGGAAACCAGTAAACGTAACTCATCACATCAATAGACTCAAAGATAAGAATCATATGATCATCTCGATAGACGCAGAAAAAACATTTGACAAAATACAGCATTCCTTTATGTTCAAAACACTAGAAAAACTAGGGATAACAGGGACATATCTGAACATCATA